GGGGCAGCAGGGCTGCCCACTGCAGGGGTTGTTATGGAAGGACCGGTGCCAGTACTGGAAACAGTGCTTCCAGACGTGGGGGCCTGAGTGTACTGCGATGTTGGTACCGGGACCACGGCAGGTACAGTGGTGCCTGAGACTACACTGGAGGGTGCTGGCGACTCAGACACAAGTGGCACAGGGAGACCACTTGGAGTTATCACACCTGTGCTAGTGACAACTCCAGCCATCCCCGCCTCAGCGGGTACTGTCACCTCAGGATGAGTTGCTGATGTGGCAACGTCACCCAGAAGACTGCCTGTGGCACTGACAGATACTGAAGGTATGGCGGATGCTGTGGTTGGGGCCCCAGCAACACTACTCAAGAAGGGAGGTACAACGGGAAACGCTGGCCCCGTCTGACTGAAGTTCGGAGGTGCTGTACTGGGTCCTTCTGTCATTTGGGCATGTCTAAGTTCGGAAAAGGCCTGTTGTAGACTAAGGGATGAAGCAGAGTGAGACAAGTTCATCCCAGGGCCTTGAGATGTACAGGCAGCAACTGCAAAGGAAGATAAGAAAATAAAAATCAGCACCTTTAAAAAGTGGAGATTCAAAGGTATCTTAAGAACCAGTTTTGGATTACCAACAGAACCACATATGACCAGGTTTATAAACCCTCGCAAGGAAATGATAGGTTCTAAAATACGAAAAAGGGGGAGGGGGTCCTCTGTGGCCTGGTGATTAGGGCAGCCAGATTCCACATGGTTGTCTATGGAGTTCAAGTCCTGGACCCTGCAGCTTGTGAAACACACGCCAGCTGGTGGTATGGTGGTCAAAGCAGCTGGATCCCACATGGATGACTGCACAGTTTAGGTCCTGGACTGGACAGCCTGAAAAACATACCAGGTGCAGGTGCATGCATAACCAAAATCCCTGAGGGAAAGGGAAATGGAGAAAGGACTGTGGCATGACTACTCCCTGTGGGAGGCATGCCTTCTCATTCTCTCTCTCTCTTTCTCCTAGCAAGCATATATGTCCTCTGGCAAATTACAAAATAAAGGGGGGAGAGAGAGAAACATGCTGAGAATGTGTGCCTGTGTGCCCAAAATTCCCAAAAGAAAGGAGCTGGAGGAGGACTGCCGTGTGACCATCCCCCCAGGGATGCTTTTCACTCTTTCCCACTCTCCGCCTCTCTGTGGCAAATGTGTACGATCTCTAACAAAACAAAACCCAAACCGAACAACAAAGCAGCAAAAAACAAGCCAACAAAAACCCAGTAGTGTGATCAAGTCAGTCAGCATGCATGAACACCTACTGCCGAAGAAAACCACATGGCGTGCCCTGAAGTTATAAACTGCAATCCCTCTAAACAGAGACAAACATGCACTACAGTGCCTGCTGCGTATGGTGTGAGCTGTACCTAGCACAGCTGTCTTCTTGGGCTCTTTTTCTTTAATGTTCTATTCATCTATCTCCCTCTTTTATAAATTTATATGGTGGGTATAGCTTCAACTTTCTATTCTTTTTCATTATCTTCGTCACCTTGAACTACTGCTTGATAACCAAGTTTCCAACATAGCAGAGACACTATGGAATTTAGATAAATATATGGTAGGATCAATCCTTACCCAGATCTGGTATTTCACTGGTGAAAAGTTTCGATTCTCGTAATCGACTTTCTGGCACAGGACTCACTATAAACCGTCTTCCAGCAGAATGAACAACTTGAGTTAAAGAACTGGTAGAAACGCCTGATCAAAAAGAAACAAAATATTTAATTGCACTACTATTACACGTATTGTTACCAGTATGAAGCATACATAACTTAAGTCAAAGGCAAAACAAACAAGAAAAGAAAAATTCACCTATTTGCTGTGGCATGGAAGACGCAGGCATTGGCTGTTTAAACTCTCCTTCCAATTTCTATAACAGAAGTGATTAAATTCATTTTCGAAAGCAATCTCAATGATCAAATACAACAGATCACCACATGAGGAGAAGACACAGGTGTTCTCTTTCGGTTATGGGTATAATGTGGTAACACTGGATGCCTTGTATGGCAAATTTAGCACCACAGAAGCATTTTAAATAAACACAACTTCACTATGGGAATGGTGAACCTACTTGAGAGCCTGAAAAGCCATAGTCATCCTTTCCCTGTAGATTCTCCAATCCCTGGTCACCCTCGGGTTCCACACTGACATCCTCACTGAGCATTTCATCAGCTTTTTCAATGATTTCCCGTACTTGATCCACAAACGACTCTCTCTCTATTGCTAGAATAAAGTCATTGTTCACCTGTAAAAGAAATGTGAGGCCACTCTGATCAGTGCAGCATTTCTTAAGCTTTAAGTCATTTAACTGCCACTTTAATAACTCCTGTTCTATCTGTATACCATGTGAATTATCACCTATTTGGTATATAACTTAGCTCCTCCCTCTTTAAGAACTTCAATACCTAGGTAGACATGTCCTTGATAAAAATATCTCTGACACTGAAATAAATATGTAATTATCGAAACAGAGAGTATAAAATGCTACATCTATGTCTAGGGCAACGGATACTGAAATCAAGCACACAGGGAAAATTTGGAACTACAAATGCAGACATACCATAATCGTTGCTATCTCCTCAGGGTTATCACCATCTAGGTCAAATTTGAACGTGACCATTTTCCGATTATGAGTTTCTAACTGACATTCCACTACCCGGTCTCCTTTATTTGAAACCTAAAAGAAAATAAAAAAGAGACACAAAAAGGAAAAAGCATTTTGTCTTAGAAAACTATATTTGGCATTATTACTGAATTTGAGAAAAATTATTCAGGCTGATGCTCAACTGAGTCTAAGGAAGCAGTGTTCTCACGGTTACTTGGAGCACTAATAGCTTGCCCTTTTTTTTTTTTAAATGATGTTTTTGCCAAAGAGAGCATACAACTGCCAGAAAGAGAGAGAGTCAGAGAGACAGCATGGAAGTGAGAGAAATCACCCCTCAGTGGGGATGGCCACTACAGTCCCTTCTACTCCAGTCTCATCTTGAGATGTTGGGTATGCATACATATGTGCCTGGTGTGATTTTCAAGCTGCTGGATCTAGGACTCGAACCACGGTGGCCATGTGGAAGTCCAGTGCCTTAACAACCAGGCCACCTGCTGGCCCCCATATTTTGGTTTCTTAAGCTGGTGTTTAATCATATTAAACATAATTATTGGTATATAAGATGTACCTAAGAATTATTTGAAGTTTTTAGAAATTCAATTCTAGGGACTAGCAGTTGGCATAATGGCTATGTCACTGGACTCCCATGGAGTTGATTGTGTTCTGAGTCCCGGACCCGGTGGCTTAAACTCACGTTGGGCACATGTGCGTGCGTGCCCAAGATCCCGAGAAGAGAATGGAGGAGAAGGGACTACGGTGTGGCCAACCCCCCGGGGGTGATTTCTCACTCTCTGTCTCTCTCTGTCATTCTCGTGAGTGCACGCGCCTGGTAGCAAAAACCTTTCCAAAAAAAAAAAAAAAAAAAGCCAAAAAACTGGTAGCTAGAAAACCTAAACTACCTTTAACCCACTTATCCTCTTTCATTCCAGAGTGGGAAGAACGTAAGTTCATTTTTCTATAAACTAAAACTATTTTTTACAAAAACTAAATAGTGCCTTACCATAGAAATATGGAATTTAAGAACACTGTTTGGGTAACTGGAAGATTCTAAATTTTTAACTATTCACCTGAGCCTAAAGATGAATTATATAAATGATATATGTCAATCCATGAAAAATCTATGCATGGATTAAAAAAAAAAATTTGGCACCAAAATAAATTTGTGCTTTGATTCCATTTTCCCATCAACTTTTATAAGTCCCCTGGTACCATGTAAAGATAATGTATCTATTTTATGATGTGAGTGGCTTGTATTTGAGGACCTCAAAAATACTCTTCAGTGAGAAATTCCTTTAATTATATATGAAACCCACAAATCTGCAACACTTACATTCAAAATTCTCAGTTTGGGGCGTGCCGTCTTCTCATGCCGGGAGCGACTCCGTACAGATTTTCGATAGTGCCGCTTTGGAGCTCTTCCTTCATGTCTCCCACCAGATGATGGGACATTCTCATTGCCATCACTCATACCAGAGGCGACATCGGAATGTGCACTTTGAGGGGAAAAAAGTGAGTTTATGATGTGAGAGAATTACAGGTCTGCTATTAGAACTGAACACCACCCTACGTCCTCGTCAAGGAAGAAGAACTTTACCTGTACATACCTATCTATGGAGGACACCAAAGTAGCAGGCTGGGGAGGCTGAGGCTGTGCTACCGGAACTGGCTCTGTAGGAGCCACCTGAGAGACTCCCTGAGTACTCTGTGGATAGAAAGGGTAATTCACATCTTGACAGCAATACATTTTATCGTTCACCATCCCTAGTAAGTTACTCTCTTCTTTCCCCTTAACCCTCCCCTTAAGCCCTAGAAGCACTAAGTTTACAAGTAATTCTCAATATTCAGCATCTAGGGACAATGGTCTTAAAATTCCAAAGGAAGTTCCTAAAACTAGTCTCTGGTACAGACTGCATGGTGTGAGGTCAGCCAACCTACGTTCTAGGCAGTGTGAAACTACAACTTGCCATGCAGTCAGTATCTTACCAACAGCGCGCAACAGAGCAGGCAGAGCAAAGTGAAAAGATGAATTCTCCCAGGGCAAAAACGACTGCTGGGAGCACAGGAGGGTAAGATATTCTCCATAACTGCCAATGGCAAGAGTTTGTGAAAGGACAAGAGTATAGCTAAAGTTCTAGCTAGAGAAGTGAAGTGCTAACAGGGTGAATCTTCTCCAAGGCACACTCACTTCCCAACAGAACAGCCAGTGGCAACAAGGCCCCCACAATGGCATTTCATTCTGCTGGAAGAAAAAGCCATTCAAAAGTTAGTCTGACATAGTCCCCAAATGAGTTTTAAACCAGGGACGCCTATGTTTCTCTTTTGTTATTTTTAATCCCATTATACATGTGTTACATATAAACATGCAGTAATTCCATTACCTCCAGAATTGCTGGCTGGGAGGATGCAGTGGGGGCTTGCTGTGCTAAACTCACTGCTGGCTGAGACACTTGAACCTGTCCTCCTACACCGCCCACAGGAACCACAAGATTTGATTCCACATAAGGCTGCACCATAGTAGGAAAGTAATTTGGTGTAGCCAATGCTTCTGTTGGCATGGGAGGGGAAAGGACTGTAGAATGGATGCAAACAGAAGCCACGCTGGAAGAGGGAACAATGTTTGAATCTCCTGGGTATTGTGGTGGCAGTCGAGGTGGGAAGCCCTGTGATAGAAACGAGGAAGGTGAGTTAGTACAGGCTGGGAGATCAAATTAGCAAAACGGCAAGACATGCACAAGGAAAAAAAAAAAAAAAGAATGCACAGCAAAGAAGAACAGCCAAATCTCCTACTAACATGAAGAACATATAAAGATCACTCTTGAAATGAATGACATGGTAGACTGGCTTGAGTTTAGTTAACAGACTCTACGATCATACTGATACTTTAAACTACTGAGTTCTCCTCCTCCAGGAGATTTAAATAGGAGGAACAGATTTAATTCCTTCTAGAAAAACACCTACTTTCTAGGTGTTTTCTACTTTCTTAACTAAAAGAACACAAAAGGTCTTCCAAGTATCAGCCATTCCAGCCATTAAAAGTACAAAGAAGTGTCTGCACTTCCTTAGTTTAGCACTTATAAGTGTTAATCTTTAAATCTAAACCCTGAGACTTTTTGTTGATACCATGTTGGCTATTCTAGTTACTATGTCCATACCCATACCCACATGTATGTATACATACATACACGTACACACACATATGGAAAACTAGGCTGATGTACTATTTTAAGCACATCCAGCATTCAATCAGCTTGCACTGAATATTGAGAGAATCGCTTTCCTCTCAAGTGATGTCTTGGGTAAAATAGACACCACCAACAAAAAAGACCATTAGACATCATCACCTTAACTTTTCTGAAATTCACAATTTTAGCTTCTCTCCTTGAGATGAGCAACCTTGATATTTCTAGAGATTCTGAGAATCAACCCTGGACTTTCAAGTTCTTGATGGTCTACTATCAGAACCCAGCCCTCTGGTGCCCTCCTTTTTTGCTAGCTAACACAATACCTGAAACGGAACATCTCCAGAGGGAAGTGGCACCTCAGCAGCTTGCCCAAGGTTAGCTGGTATTCCCATGGACTGAACTGCTGGCTGTAGGAGCTGTGGGTGAGTCTGCCTTGGCAGCTGAGCCACGGGCTGAAGAAGGGTTGGCAGCTGACTAGCAACCACAGCCGATCCCCCTGGGACCGCAGCTGCTGGAGCAGATGAAGCCAGGGTGAGCAGAGGCTGGTTAATGCCAGCTGCCATTGTGACAGGAAGGGATGAGAAACCTGTCTGCACAGTAGGCATGGGAGGAGCCGATATGGGAGTTTGAGAGAGAGGGTACTGAGGGAGTGAGGAAGGAGCAAGTGGCTGTCCCACAGGGAGGAAATGAGCACCAGAGTGAACCGGAACAACTGAGGGTTGTGTCGCGACTGGTATCTGAGGTTCGCCTTGAATAGTTGGTATTGGCTGGGAAACTGGAAGCTGGGAAGGTAAAGAAAAACAAAACAGACAGACTTTTAAAAATAAAAAAGAAAAAGGAAAGAAAAAAAAGCAAGGCTGCCAAAAGGAAGATTCATGTATTAGCCAAAAAGAAAGGGAAAAAAATCATCCCTGTACACATTAGTATAAGTTAATATGCCACATAAGAATAGGGAAAGGCCAGCAGAAGACAAAGAGGCTAAGAGATTGGCTACGTTTTTGTTTTTTTTTAACACCTTTATTGGGATATCTTTTACATACCATAGTCCACTGGCATGTCTACTGTCACTAAATATATGACTACTATTACAGGAATTACTGAAATTCAAATAAATTCCTTCCCAGTTGAGTTGAACTTCATCCATGTCACTTCTACAATTCCTGCGTGTGTTGGGGGGTGGGGGTGGGGGTTCAGACAGGGTCTTGCTGTGTCATGACTCTCCTGCCTCAGCCTCCAAGTAACAGGGACCACAGGTGCACTGGGCCTGGCTTTCCAGGGTGGGCTGAGAATCGAGTCCAGGCCTCCCGGCCCCAACCAACCAAGTGACAGCATCTAGGAAACCCTACTGTGGTTAGGCTTACTTCCACAATTCTTACCCTAACAGGGCTCTACAAAAGTAGGTATGGTTAACCTATTTTACTTATTCCAGGTTGTAATCATGCCTCTACTACCTGGTCATTTTAACATTTGAGAAACTCAGATGTACCTTACAACTGATAATGTGTCAGTGTTCAGTGGTACATCAAATAATGATGCATTTTACATTTGAAAGTTGACGGCATCTCAGATGTGATGAACCACAATGAGAATGGTATACTGTGCACATGTAAGCACAATACCCACAGGTAAATATGAAAAGGTCATTCGCAAGAGCATACCTTCTACAGGGTGCTTTTCAAGTGATCGGAATAAGGACTACTTAGAAAAATATCACCATTCCATAAGGGGTTTTATGACTTACTGTCAGTAGGTAATGAGGGAGGAAATGGTGTAGAAGTCTACATAAAACAAAGCAAACCTGGAGTATCATATATAGCTTCCTAATCCTGCTATAGACAATGCCACAGGTCCAGTTACCATAGTACCTCTAACCTCTATTCTAATACTACATTAATAAACCTAAAAGTGAGACATTTCTGAATGTCAGTGTTATCAATATGCACCCATTTATACTAAATGAGTATGTGTAAATGGAGTTATTTTTATTTCATTACTGCAGTAAAACCAACCAACTTCAAAAGATAATTCACTAACAGAAGGCAGAAGCCTGTCTACAAGAAAGAACTGCACAGCTCTTTCTTGGAGAAAGAACTGTGAGAATGGAGAGCCCTTTGGTGTCCCTTCAGAAATGAAGATTTTACCTGTTTTCCAGCTGATACTGGAGGCAAGACCTGTGTCGTCTGAGGCTGACTCACTGGCTGTGCAGCAGGGGCCTCATTGGAGGCTGACGTCTGGGGAGGTGAATACTGCACTGTCTGTTGCGGAGGGGCTGTCTGCTGTATTCCCTGCTGCTACAGATAAAATATAATCATTTACTTTCATTTCAAAGCATTAATTGCATGTTTCTAAGGAAGTATGTTTAATCAGAGGTTTTAGTGTTTGTAAACTATCATAAGTTTGGTAATCAGAAAAAAAAAAAAACAAACCAAATTCATCAATTTGCCTTATGTGTGTTTTTCTTATTTTTTGTGATGGTATTCACAGAAATAATTAACCAATTTTTCATTTTTTGGGGGGGGAGAGCTTTTTGCTATAGGGCGCATGCGCTCGCCAGACAGACAGACAGAGACATAGAGACAGAAAGCGAGAAATCACCCCCCAGGGGGGATGGTCACGCCGCAATTCCTTCTCCTCCGTTCTCCTCTTGGGATCTTGGGCATGCACGCACACACGCCTAGCATGAGTTTTAAGCCACTGGGTCCAGGATGCGAACCGCAGTTGACTACATGGGAGTCCAGCGACATAGCCATTATGCTAACTGCTGGTTCCCACCAATTTTTTTTTTTAAAGAGGTTTTTGCTACAGGGTGTGTGTGCCCACCAGAAAGACAGAGAGATAGAAAGCGGGAAATCACCCCCCAGGGGGGATGGCCACGCCACAATCCCTTCTCCATTCTCCTCTTGGGATCTTGGGCGGGCACGCACGCACACGCGCTCGGCGTGACTTTTAAGCCACCGGGTCTGGGACTCGAATCGTGGTCAACTACATGGGAATTCAGTGACAAAGCCACTACACTAACTGCTGGCCACAATAATTAACTGATGTTTTAAAAGTTGGTTCTTTTCTGAACATTTCCCTCATTCCATCAGCGGGTCTTTACACAGATACCATATCCAAACAGCTTCTGGCCCTTGAGCACGCCTCACATTCTTACTTCCTTTTCTCTCCTTCTTGGTACTGGCTCTCACTTTGGCTCTTGTATTAGACTAATCCAGTCTACTCATTTAATCCCTTTCCCTTACCCAACTTTATTAACTGTATAATTAATCTACTGATAAACAGCTTGATTAGGGCTATAAAACATCAGAATAGCACTGAGTTTGGAGTCAAGACTTCGAAATTTAATTTTATCACTTACTAGCTGTTAATAACTTAGATTTCTCATTTTGTTACAAAAACAAAGTTCTTTTGTTTTGTTTTTAGGTTTTTGCAATAGGGCTTGCTACTTACTCCCAGGAGAGAGAGAGAGCCAGAGGTGGAGGAAGCGAGAAGTCACTCCATAGTGGGATAGCCACACCATAATCCCTTCTCCATTGTCCTCTCCTGATTTTAGGCATGCACACGTGCCTAGCGTGGTTTTCAAGTCGCCTGGTCTGGGACTCGAACCATCGTTGGCCATGTGGGAATCTAACACCTTAGCTACTATGTATGCTACCCACTGGCCCGAAGTTCCGTATTTTGAGAAACAAAGACACTATCTTTCAGCTCCAAGTGGGGCAAGGGAATGACATCCAAATATCAACCTTATGCTAGGTGCTGGGTATAATACACTTACTACATAGCGTGTAATTGTACCTAAATTAAGTAAATAAACTGGATAACTGCCCTCAGTTAATATCTCTCTCTTGTCTAATAAATAAAAATCTGAACTTTATAGCTGACTTAAGATTCTGTAATACCTATAACAAATTGTTTTCATTTTAATTACAAAAACAATACCTGTTTGCAGTAAAAATTTTAACCAATATATCAGATTACAAAGTAGAGTACTCTCAATCCTATTATCCGGAGGCAATCACCACTAGCGGTTAGGTTTATGACCTCCATGGATTTTTTCCCCCTATGTATAAATGGTCATTTGCACATAAGTACAACCACGTCTGTCCCATAAGTAGTGTTCAATAACATTTTATTTTCATTTTTCAATGGCATCAATCTTCAAATGATGAACATTTCTGGTTGTCTATTTTTTTTTTTTTTTTGCTACTTAAAACACTGTTACAGTCCTAGCTACTACGATGCAGAGGTAGCATGGGTACCTGTCAGAGATGGGAGCTATGTGGCCAACAGCAGGTTTGAATCGCTACGGGTCTGTAGGACCCCTAGAATCCCAAGGAACTGGAAGGCTGGAGACAGCAGAGGTATGACAAAATCCTGTCAAGGGTGTTCCTTTCCTTCTTTCTGTGTCTATACATGCACTTTCATAAAAAACAGACATAAAAACTCACTGCTGCCACTAACAGCCTGACACAGTCAATTGGTTACTAATGGTCTAAAGATAAGCCATTAATTAAATTAATTTTGTATCAGTTATAAGACAAACTAATGCATTTATCTAGTCACTTTAATGAATGTCATAGATTTTGTTATGTGATCATTTGCAAATAATATTTTTTGCTCCTCTGTTTATTCCTTATTCCCCTTTTTATATCAATTAAAGCCACCGAAGTAAGGCAGACATAGAATGGCAACACCAGTCATGTTTGTTTTATTCCAATTTAATGATTTCTGATAATGCATTATTTCAACTTAAAAATAATCAAGAATGGCTGGCTACTGAATTATATAAAACTCATTTTCACTAGCTAAGAAATATTACATGTAGCCAACTATATGGCAACTCAGAATATAAGATCATTTCCCCACCAAAAAGTGAAACTAAAAAACAAAACCCCTTTTTTGTTAACTTGAACATAAACTTTGATTTACATACCTAAATAAGATCATGTATTACACAAATGTACTAACTCAAAAATATTTCTCTCCCTTCCCCAAATTAGTTTTATGTAAGACAGCAGCAGCTGTACCTTTACTGGAGCTACCCTGCAAATGGTTTAATTGAATCTTAATAAATCTATAGTGACAAGCACCTGTTTGGGTAATAGAATAGCTTTTTGGTTTTTATTTTGCTTGCATGTGTCTTTACAGGTTTATATTCATGTAATCTCTGTATTAAAGTAACCTTTAAACAAGTTGTCACAATGACATGCAGTACTTAAAATGGTAAAGTCATAGCCCTAAGAATAAGGACCAAATCTGTATTGAATTTGTGCCTTTCTAAAAAGAAACCAATTCTGTCAGATGTTCTCTGTAAACATTTCCATGTATACTATTTAAGGTCCTAGCAGGCATACTTGTTTTATTAGCTTTTTTTTTTTGGGTGGGGGGGGGATTGCTTTTCAAATTAAAGGTGAGTGAGAGTCCTGTAATAAGAGTATATGATAAAGGTTTCAATACATGGTTATTCTGTCTTAGTCAATGGGAGATTCCTGAGGAAAAAATCTTTACCTTATATGTGGGCCTATGGTGATCTAATGCCCCTGGTCTCTCTGCTACCTCCATCAATTCAGAACCATGTTGACATCGAAATTAGGACTTGACCCACTCTTCCCTGAACTTACACCTTCATGTCTCTAAGCGCTAGCTAAACCAAACTAAAGATGAATTTGACTCTGAAATGTCTTTTTCTACTCTGCTCACGTTGCCCTTTTAGAAATTCTTTTGGCTTGGAATATTCATTACTCCTACATCTGAGTCTTAACATATAAACAGCCCAGTTCAAATGCCATCTCTTTCATAAAGCCGTCCTGATACTCATGTTCTGGCTAGGGAGAGGTGTTAATTTCTTTTTCTCATTTTTTTGGGGGGAGGCATAATTTGGCAGAAGTTAAATGGTGAGCTGTGAAGTCAGACTACCCGGATTTAAACTGTTTTCTCTCTTACAAGTTGTAAGTTTGAGTAAATTACCTGGCTTCTCCAGTTCTCAGTTTTCCCATTGGTAAAACAGAAATAACAATTGTAACCACACTTACAGAGTTCTTACAAGGATTAAATGAAAATATAGGTAAAGTGCTTTGCACACTGTACATGTTAGCTACTATCTTTGTTTTGTAGTTCACATTATACATATGTATGTGTGTATATTATATAAAACTGTATATATTATATAGTTATATATAAATATATGGGAAAATATATATTATATATATATAAAAAATACACATACATAAAACTGCTAAAGGGCATTATGCATGCCATAGAGAGGAAAAGCAAAGGTGCACAATAATGCTGAAATCCTTTTATCTCCATCCTATGAAGATTCTGGGCATGCACATCCATGTGTGTGGCATGTTTTTCTGAACTGCTAGGAATGGGATTCAAACCATGGTTGGCCACGTGGAATTCAGTTGCCATGCATAGTGCTTAACCACTGCACTATGGGACTGGCCCCAAACAGAAGTTTTTCTGTTACTGAATACAAGAAACATTATGTCTCTTAATCTTCCTTTCAAAAGTTGAGCGAGCCATTTGTATCAGGAATATAACTCACAAAGGATGGAAAACAATGTTTTGGCCACTGCTAATCTATAAAATGTAGTAACCCAGGAGCCAGCAGGTGGCACAGTGGTTAAGGCACTGTTCTCCCAAATGGTTGACTGCAGTTTGAGTCATGGACTCAGTGGCTTTAAACTCACACTAGATGCATGTGCGTGGCATGCCCCAAATCCTGAGAGGAGAATGGAGGAGGGACTGCAGTGTGGCCATCCCCACTCCGGGGTGATTTCTTGCTTCTGTCTCTGTCCAGCACATGCATCTCACAGCAAAAATCTTTCTCAAAAGAAAAC